CTGGATCCCCCTTGTCCGCATGTTTGTTAACCCCTTCAAAGAACTCTAATAGATTAGTAAGACAGGATTTCCCTTTACAGAAACCATGTTGACTTTTGTCCAACAAATTACGTTCTTCTACATGCTTCACAATTTTATTCTTTACTATTGTTTCGACTAATTTGCCCGGTACTGATGCCCGGGTCATCTTTAGGGTTGCCAGATGGTTTAATCAAAAATACCAAATACCCCTCCCCCCCAGAAAAAACCCCACCAGGGAAAAAATTCGGGGGGGAGGGGGGGGGCGAAGTTTAGCAAAAATAAATAAATAAAAAACAGCATTAAAACAGCATAGCCCCTTTCAGAGTGCCTGCCAAGTCAGAATAGAGATAGGAACAGGGGAACGGTTGAGCACTAAGACCCAGAGGAGGCATTGCTTCCCCTTGGTCTTTAGGCTTTTTGCTGGTGGCCATTTTGTTTTCTTGATCAAGCCAGAATGCAGCTTCCCTGCGGAACCAGGTAAGCAGGAGGGCTGGGGGTGTTGCGAGGGAGGGGAGGAGAGGAAGCCGGGGGCTGGGCCCAGTTGCCAAGTATATTGTAGTGTTGCCAGGTGCCCGGTATTTTTGCCTCATGGCCAGGAAAAAAAAAATCAGAAAATATGGGACATTTTAGGTGTCTGATATTTTTTTAATTTTACCCGACAGGAGGCAAAACTACTGGACTATCTGGGTCAATACCGGACACCTGGCAACCCTAGTCATCTTACATTGTAAATTCTTTGGGGGTTAGAGTGTGTCTATCTTTATGTTTGCGCAGCACCAAGTAAAAAGAAGTCCTATCAGAATCTTAATACTACAATCTAATATAGATAGATATATATATTTTAGAGAGTTTGTGCGTGCGTGTGTGTCCATTTGTTCAAGAATGCCTCCTAAACGATAAGATCTAGGGCCACTCCCTCTTGTCCTGACTTAAAGCAAGGCCAAGGTTTGGCTGTGCCCAGAAAACAGGAAGTGCCTGGAATCGGATTGTTTTCCACTACACAGAACGGGAGGGGTCTGAGAGCAGGGACAGTTATGCTCTGCAGTGACCACTGGATTCAGCAAATTTGGGGGATGGTTAGAATGCAGAATGACCAGAGTGGGCGGCTGCACCAGGAAAACATGGCCAGTTGAGGCTAGGGATGTAAGGATAGGCTTATTGGGTAGTTGAGTCAACTAGTCGCTTCCCCCCGCCCCCTTGCTGACACTGTGTTAAAAGCCGGTTCCCCCCAGCACCTTCTCTGCAGGGGGGCAAGGGAGGTAGAGGCGCAGCGGGAAATGGGGCGAGTGGGGACTGAAGCAATGCTCATGCCGGTCTGACTGCTGTGCTTCTGCCTTGTAAATGTAGCAAGAGCCTGTTACATTTAAGAGGCAGCGCAGCGGGGAACCACAGGTGAGTGGGGGACTCAAAGGCATTTCAAAGACCAAGGCAGTGCAGTGGGAACCCGGGGTGAGTAGTCCCTGCTCGCCTGGACTTCCCCACTGTGCCACCTCTGCCTTTGACATGCCTTTAAGTCCCCCACTCGTCTGGGGTTCCCTGCTGTGCTGCCTCTGCCTTTTAAATGTACTAAGAGCCTGGGGGGGGGGGGGGGGGGAGAGACAGGTCAGGCTCCAGGGGTTCCCCCCCTCCAGTGGCCCTCCCTTGCCCAGTTTGGTGGCTGGCAAGATGGTGGAGCTCCAGCTCTGCTAGATACTCTCTTGATGCTTTATCTGCCCCCCGTGGCCACTCTCAGTATCACATCCCTCCTTTCTGTGCCCCCCCCTTTTCGTGTTCCTCCTCTCTGTCCCCTCACTTTTCATTTTATGGGAAACAGTCCCATTTTCCAGGCACAACCAAAACCAAGGTCAGGGTTAAGTCAGGGTAAGAGGAAGCTGCATGCTACATTTGGTGGTCCTAGCTCGTACAGTTTAGGAAGACAAATAGACCCACAGACACACTCTAAACTATATAGACAGATAACACAGTCTTCGGGTAGTATAAATTTCCAGCTTTATTAACTGACAATTTAGGATCGGCACAGGCACAAAAAGGTAGCATTTAAGGGTGAGATTTCAATCTTATTTGCCTTTCCAGACTGTTGCTCAACCTTAGCATTATGCTGTCACTTCTTAAAAGCACAGAATTGGGATTGACATTTGTTAACTTTCCACTTGGATCCAAAAACACTTTAAAATAATTACTCCTCAAACTCCCCCTGCACAAGGGATGGTATATGTTCATTTATTACTTGTCAGATAATTTAGCTGACTGATGTTCAATTAATGCCCATAGTCAAGGTGGGCAGAGGTACTGTCATATATATTGGTTTTCTAGTGTTATCAGAAGCTTAGTTGGGATGATGTGTAGTGAGATCTTCCTTTGGAGCTTATTAATAACACTACTCTGCCCTGCATGAGGGTGGAAGTGCTCAGCCAAGGTGTTTTAAGAGGTTGAAGTTCAGTACTGTACACCAATACACCTACACTGGTACAGGAGTGCTATATTAAAAGGCTGCTTTCTAAAGAAAAGTGCTGATAGCTAATTTCACCGGATCCTAAAGTCTTCTCTCGACAGAATAGGATGGTAGTACAGAGACAATAGCAGGGCAAGTTTCTCATTGCCCTTAGCCAATATGTCTCAACTAGGTTTGGAACCCCTTCTCCCCCCAATAGTTAACCAATTAAACGATCTGCTCAACTGGTTAACTGCCAGCTCCAGGAGGCAGGGTTGCTCTTCTCCCAGCCCTGCTGTGGCCATGGGCGGCAGTGATTGCTCTGGCCCTGGGCAGCCCACCACAGCTAGGGTCCTGCTGGCCAGTTAGCCAATAAGCATACCAAGGCTCAACCCTGACATAGTGGGAGCCACCTTCAGGAACAGTCTCTGTGGCCTATCGTGTCCTTTTCCTCCACAAAAGTATTGAGAACTGGGACCTTTTCCCATCGATCAAGCATTTTACAACCTCACTAATTCATCCTCCTAGCACCACCGTGAGCTTGGCAAGTATCATTACGTCCCTCTTGAAAAGTAAGGTTCAATGATATGCCTGGAGGGCATCTGGGTCTGAGCAGGGATTTGGACTGTGAGTTCCTGGCTCCAGGCCCCTATAAGCCTGAGCACAGAGCACACATGGCTGCCAATCGGTGCCTCTTTCGGTTTGTTTGTTTTTTATGGGCACATCTGACTAGTTGAGACTGGACTGAAAACCAGATGACCCAAAAGGGATGAAGAGACATTTCCTCCAGATACTTCCCGGAGGGGGAGTTGCTGATTATATGATAGCAACGAGGATTCCCCAGGGGCTCCTTGGTGATAGGTCCCATACAAACTTGCTTCACTGCTTCTGTATTGTCTTGCTGTGCATGGGGTTGCCAGATGGTTTCAACAAAAATACCAGACACATGTGACATGACATCACAATCGACATTACATCTTATTTAGAAAACACCGGACATTTCTATTTTCTCAATTTGTTTCCCGGACAGAAAGCTCAAATACTTTGAAAGTTCAAAACCGGACACCTGGCAACCCTAGCTGTGCTTGTTTGACTCAGAGATTCAAAAGAGGGTAATTAGTGTTCCTCAGTTATATGCCAGCACTCTGAATGCTGTTCCGCTGACTGCTATGCATAGCAGTAGAGGTGTCTGAGCAGAGGCACCAGCAAAGGCTTGTGTTATGTACATGTAGAATAAAAAGACTGGGACTTTTCAGCTTAGAAAAGAGGAGACTAAGGGGGGATATGATTGAGGTCTATAAAATCATGACTAGTGTGGAAAAAGTGAATAGAGAAAAGTTATTTACTTATTCCCACAATATAAGAACTAGGGGTCACCAAATGAAATTAATGGGCTACAGGTTTAAAAAACCAAAAGGAAGTTTTTTCTTCACTCAGCGCACAGTCAACCAGTGGAACTCCTTGCCAGAGGATGTGGTGAAGTCCAGGACTTTAACAGAGTTAAAAAAAGAGCTAGGTAGATTTATGGAGGTTAGGTCTATCAATGGCTATTAGCCAGGATGGGTAGGAATAGTGTCCCTAGCCTCTGTTTGTCTGGAGGTGGGTAACAGGGGAGGGATCACATGAAGATTACCTGTGGTGATCCCTCCCTCTGGAGCATCTGGTGCTGGCCACTGTTTGCAGACAGGATACTAGGCTAGATGGATCTTTGGTCTGACCCAGTATGGCTGTGCTTATGTATGTGCACAGCTACTTTTTAGTGATTTGCATTGCAAAGAAGTCAATGTGCCGATTTCAAGGTGGGTAACAGGGGAGGGATCACATGAAGATTACCTGTGGTGATCCCTCCCTCTGGAGCATCTGGTGCTGGCCACTGTTTGCAGACAGGATACTAGGCTAGATGGATCTTTGGTCTGACCCAGTATGGCTGTGCTTATGTATGTGCACAGCTACTTTTTAGTGATTTGCATTGCAAAGAAGTCAATGTGCCGATTTCATTTCCTAATCCTGAAGGTGAGATCTGTTTTGCTTCCCTCGGCCATGAGGTACTGAAATCTGAGATACCTTTGTTAGCCGCTACAGCCTCAGAAACCTGAACTGCACATTTCATTTGCCCAGCATGTTTTAGAGGACAGGTAAATGGGGTGTTGGCTAATCAGGGGTGTTCCTGGCTAAGAGAGCCATGAAGAGCTCAAAGCAACCTAGAAAGAGGGAGATTGGGATTAATGGGGCTTTGTTGGTGGTAAAGACCATACAGATCACCTGGTGGCTTGGCTGCAGCTCGTTAATGTACCTCATCCTTGGGACATGCACCCTGACATGGTGAATACTAAATGGGCTACAGGATTTGAGTGGTGTTCTTTGAATGCCCCCACCTCCTCAGCAGACATGCTGAGAGATATCAGTGTGCTCCTAGACTGAAGGTGATGCTGCATGCAGGGATGGGCCACAGAGAGAACACGGAAGAATGAAATAAATGGGATAAGTCCTCAGACCCTGTCCGCACTGGTGGTGGGATCTGCTGCCACGTACCGTGAAGCAGAGGGAGGAGGCCAGTTTCAGCATGGGGAATAACCTCTCGGATTTCTGGCTGCCGCAGGGTTTACTGTCAATTCTGCGTAAACTGAAGAGTGCCCCAGACCAGGAGGTGAGAATCCTCCTCCTGGGACTGGATAATGCGGGCAAGACCACACTCCTGAAACAGCTAGCATCTGAAGACATCAGCCACATCACACCGACACAGGTAAGGCAGCTCTTCGTGGGCCTGCAGGCTGCTGTGTGTTCTGTTTCCATCCAGCACGCCATCCTAGCCCCTAGTTCAGATACAAGCGCTGCCTATGAAGGCTGCACACAGAACTGAATTAGAAGGGATGAACTCTGTATATGGGTGTGTTTTTGGCTGCACAAAGCAATCCAGCCCCCAGTCAGTATGTAGCTGGAGAATGTACGTTTTGCATCCTTTGAGCCACACTCTGACCTCAGGCATGTTGCTGTGTATCTGGACTAACTCCAGGCTGTTCAGTGGAATCACTTGGATTTTACCTGGGTAACAGAAGTCAGGTTTTGATCTCGTTTGTTTGAACAAACAGGGAGCAACTGTGGAGAGAGAGAAATGTACAAGTGCTGCACTATGCACCTCCTTTCTCTCAGGGCATTCCCCAAATCCCACAGCTCGCAGCATCCCTAGTTGTTGCCTCTTACTCCCTCGCTTCAAGGCTCCCTATTGGGACAGTTGTGTCCCTTCAGACCAAAAAGCCATGAGCACCATGCCTGACTTGACCAGAGGAGGCTGCTAGAGAGCTGCACGAGGTGTTCTTCTCTCCCCCTCCCCGAGGAGCCGAGTGCCCTGCCTTGCAGCATTCCCAGCCCCTGACACCCCAGAGCAAAAGCCCACGCTCAGATTCCAAGCTCTGATCCCCTGAGTCCTGTGGCAGCACGTTGCCAGGCCACACCACATCCTGTTTTTCCAGTTGAACACCCTTTCAGGGGGAGCTTTGCTGCATGAAACGGCCCCTTCAGACATGCAGCTGTTGCTCTTTTCAGCTGAGTGCTAGTCGCGTTGTGTCGGAGGAAGCAGAGTCCTCTGGCTTGGAGTTAAATTGTTCTGTGTGCTCAGCTTCCACAAGCTCAAGCCTGCTTCTCACTGTGCCCTCTGTTTTCTCCTTATCAGATCTCTCTCTCACCTCTAGCTGTAGCCACCCTTCTGAGCACTCCAGAGGCATTAACACCAGCGTATGTCTGTGTCACGGTGACAGTGTCAGCTCTTGATCCAGGAACATATGCAAGCTTGACATGCATGAGGCTGCTGTTCTCTTTCCTCTTCACCTCTCTCATAGCCGATCTATCTGAACAGTCTTCCTCTGCTTTTCAGCAGTGGGAGACAGACGCTGCTAATGGTGCACGCTCCAGAATACGATCCCGAGCTTTGGGTTAACTCAGTCTGTGGTTTTCCTTGTCCTCGTTACAGGGCTTTAACATTAAAAGTGTACAGTCTCAAGGCTTTAAGCTGAACGTGTGGGACATTGGTGGACAGAGGAAAATCAGGCCGTACTGGAGGAACTACTTTGAAAACACTGATGTTCTTGTAAGTATTGGCCAAGGCTGAATGCTTGCGAATGCAATGGCTTTCCAAGTTCTAAGGCAGAAAGATCAGCAGTGCTAAATGCCCGAATCCTCAGTAACACCATTGTTGGTATAACATTCGTTATTCCAAACCCACTGGCAAGACTGATGGCTTTGTTTTGTCCTAACCCTGGGGGAAAAAAAACAGTGGAATTGGCAGAAATTATTCAGATTTATTTTTTACTTTCCCAACAGATTATGCTACACATGTTCAGTTACAAGTCCCTCTGGTGTTAATGGCATAATGTTTATTAATAACATATACATGGCACATCTGTAGCAACGTCTATTAGAGACTAATAAGGCATTTTACAGGGACTAATTAATGAGGCCTCAAATTGTGAGGGAGGGCAGCATTATCCTTATTTTACAGATGGGGAAAACCCAGGCACAGGAGAAGTTAAATGACTTGCCCAAGGTGAGTCAGGGAATTCTGTGGAAGCGAAGCAGGAAGAGTTTGGAACGTTAATGAGAAGACTGTCCTTCCCTACCTGTGTCAAGATAAGGGCCTTTAGAGTTGCAGGCTGGGACACGTTTAATGCTAGAGCGCTGTACAGAATATATACAAAATACAGCCACTTCTGAGTGGAGGGTGGCGACCAGTTGGCACACACAACCCTGCACAACAGGGGAGGAGGGGGGGAATATTGGCCAGACATATTGGGGCAAATCTTTCACTTTTCCCAAGAGTTCCACAGGATCTGTCTGAACAGATCAGCAGGGGCCGTTGATCTTGAGATAACATCTAAAAAACACAGCCCAGCTGTAGGGCACACAGAAGGGTTCAGAGCTGAATTGACCCAGCCAGTAACAGAAGCTGTGGGGCCAGTGAGTTTAGGAAATCCAAACCCAGTGCTTCGGTCTCTGAGCCTCTGTTGGCATTGCACAGTTATTTCAGGTGTCGCACCTGGGTTAGTCTCTCCTGGGGGTGAGCATCCCCCCTGCTGAGCGCTCATTGTTTCTGCATTCAGCTCTCCTGGGGGTGAGCATCCCCCCTGCTGAGCACTCATTGTTTCTGCATTCAACTGGAGAGGCCTGAGAGGGTGTCCCTCGGTTGTGTGCTGTATCAGTTGCCAGATAACTTGTCTGTCAGTCCTTGGGGGTGGGAAGGCAGTGGAGAACTGTCAGCACGCCAGTGACTAGCTCCAGTCTCACTTGCCAAGTAGGTGATTTCTACCCCTAGTTAAATCAGAGTCCAAGCTCTAATTCACCCCCCTCTGCCAGGGCAACTCATCTCAACAGGAAGTCGCTGCCACCATCATGGTTTTACAGATGGGGAAACTGACTGTGACCTGCCTGTGAACACGCCCACGTCATACATTACTTAGGCTGAAAGTTTTGGGGGGCTCTCGTCTAGATATGGGTTTGGCACAGGAGGGTCCTCGTCGGTGACAGCAGCTCCTAAGAGTGATTCTACCGCAATGTAAAATAATAATTCAAAGTCAAGACGAGAGCCAGGAGTGGGCTGCTAATCGCCTGTGGCGTGCCCTGCTCTAGGCGCTACACGCACTGCCACTGCACAATGAAATACACAACACTGACACTAACCAGTCAGACTCCACAGCAGCACTGTAACAAGGGCAGACTTCAGGCCTAGTGAGGGGGCCAACGTTGACATAAAAAGGCAGCTCGGAGTAGAGAGACTAACTGCTGAAAGCATGGGAGGATGAGCTGAGGCGACTGTGCAGGGAAGGAAGTCGTTCCATTTTAGGCTAGCCATCACCAGAGCCTTGCTCGTTTGCCTGCCCCAAGCACGAGGGCAAGACCTCACAAGGAGGGAACTGTGAGAGAAACCTGCCAGCACAAGGCTGAACGGGGGGGAGGTCCCTTCTCCATTACGGGCACTCAAAACCAGCAGGGCCAAGTTAGTCAGCGAGCCCCTATAAGGGCAGTCAAGGCACAAGACAGGGCGGACATAAAATGATCACGACTGCTCAGTCAGGGATTCTCTGTGAAGCTGGGTGTACAGAGACAAGCACTCTGCAAGCAGGCAAAAGTCAGCACCACAACGCAGCAGCCAGAGAGCTTTTGACTGCTACAGCAGACACTCAGTCTGCGCATAGTGAAGATAGCTACAGAGTCTCCAGGGGCGTATTGCCGTCCCCAGTCTTCCCTTGCCGAGCTTGTAACTGCAAATAAACAACCTTGTAGTTGCATTTACTACAAGGGAGGGGAGAGGGGAAAAGAGAAGAATTTTAACCCTGAAGGAGCAGAAAGAACCCCCCCCCCCAGCCTACTCAATACAACAGGGAAACTGCTTTGTAGTAGGGGGAAGGACCAGTTTTAACACTGCTGGGTGTGACAGTGGGAGTCCTACAGCAGGTGGTAGCAGCCACTTCCTGACCCATTTGCATGGAAGTTGCAGTCCACTTACACCAGGCATGATATTGGTCCGTGGCCTTTAGAAAGCATCTGAAATGCAGGTGAGGGTCTTTCTCCCTCCGCCCATGCTGGCATCGTATTGGCAGAGACCATTCAAACTGGAGTCGGGCCACAGAGCCCCTGCTACCGCTCCAGTAACCAGCTCAGATGGGCAGTGCCGGGACTGGAGCCAAGTTAAGGTGCTATCCCAGGACTCCTGCCTCTGCTCCATTCAGAACTGCGTTGCACCAAGGGAGAGGACCCTCCAGAGCTGTTTGAAAGCCATGAAGTGATTGCACATTCAAATCAGCACAGGTGTGTTTGAATGGGAGCTACTCCAGCTCTACACACCTGTGATATTTGGACGCTTAACCCAGTCAAAGAAGGTGCATCTATTTGGATGATTGCGTATTCAGAGACGCACCTGCAGGGACGTCACGTGGCTTTCTGCTTTGGAAGCAGGCACTCTGCACAGAGCTTGTTGGTGTTGTGCTGGGCAGTGGGGCACTGCCCGCAGTCCTGTCACCGCACACTAATCTAATTGGAGCTCACAAGTCAAGTGCTGGCAGGGGACCCCCAGAGAAAACCCAGGTGGTGCAGGATAAAGGATTGGTGAGGGGTAGGGAGCACCGAGCTAATGCCCTAGCACAGGGCCAGGCACTCTGGTGCTGGAGGGGGTCAACCTTCAGGTGAGATGTAAGGCGCGGTTCCTGAGCATTCGTTCTCGCTACATATCCCATAACGCTTTCGTCAAGAGCAAGGCGTGTCAGCCCCAGTGCCCTTCCCACATTTCAGTATGGAGAATTACATTCTAGCCCATAACTCCCTCACTGTTGGCTGGATAGGGTTGTCTTCACTTCCTATCTTAAACGGGAGATTGGTCCTACCGTGTGCGATGGCTGAACAGCTAGCCTTTCATCCTAGGTGGCAGCTGTTGCTGTTCCTTGCTGTGTACTTTAACAAGTTCGTCAACAGTAGCTAAGACGTGGCCCCCTCCCCGGGGAGAGCAGTCAGTGACATTTTAATGGCTCTTTATTAGCATTTATAATGTTTCATTTAGTGCTTAGGAACGATACCGAAATGACACCAGATCCCTCAGCTCATCGATTGAGCCTGGACCAGTATAGTACGGTGTATAGGGTCCGCCATCAGCGAGAGACCTCACTGACTCCCTCCAGGGCCCACAAGTTCAGGCCACAGGGGGAACCCGCCACCCCAGTGGTGAGGTGACAGGGGGGATGCAGGCCTGTCCACACCACTGCGTCCTGGCCCAGGCCCCTGATGGTGGCGGCTTTGCAGCCACTAAGTCGGCGGGGATCCAGGCCGTTGCACACCAACTACATCGAGGAGTCAGCAGGATTCCAGGCCACAACGCGCTGCCCACCCAGCCTCCATCTCCTTAGCCATCCTAGGGTCAGCTATTCCTGGGCCCCTTCCCAGTTCCCCCATGGGCCTACCAGGCTCTGGCATTGCTCCGGTGAGTCTGCTGGTGACGGAGGTTCTGGCAGAGTATCCATCGGTTCGGGGGCCAGCAGGGGTCCTGCGCCAGGGATCGGGAGTGAGCAGGGGTCCTGGCAGTCCAACCTAGTCCTCCAGCTGGGGGCAGCATAGCCGAGTCCTGCAAGGCTGGAGGCAGAGCCAAATGTCTGCCCTGGTCAGCTGCCCAGCTCTGACTGAGCTTCCAGCTCTTATACTGCTAGTCCCACCCACTGGCATTGTGTGGGTGGGGCTAGGGGTGGCTGGACCCGCCCACCAAGGGGTCTTAGAGGGCACTTCCTCTTCCGGGTCAGAGGGTGGCCATATTGCTGTCCCAAACTCATTACCTATGGGCAGCAGCACCGCGAGCTGCCTATGCATGTGCTGCCTTCTGCCAGTGTACATCAGCTCTGATTTGTAAGGATCATGAAGCCACAGTAAAGAGAGAAAAAACATATGAGGTCATCAGTTACCTCTTCCCCTGGCAGGCACCTACGTTTTCCTCACTGCATATTCAATCCAGACTAACTCCAGCCTTCCACAGGCAAAGAAGCAAACAGAACTTTGGGAATCATTAGGAAAAGAATAGAGACTAGGACAGAGAATATCATATTGCTTTGTATAAATCCATGGTCGGCCCTCACCTTGAACACTGCGTGCTGTTCTGGTCACCCCATCTCACAGATATCTTGGCACTGGAAAAGGCACAGAAAAGGGTAGCAAAATTGATTAGGGGTATGGAACAGCTGCCATATGAAGAGAGATTAATCGGATGGGGACTTTTCAGGTTGGAAAAGATGACTTAAGGGGGATATGATGGAAGCCTCTAAAATCATGACTGGTGTGAAGAAGTAAATCAGGAAGTATAATTTACTCATCATCATATATATAGTAGCCCAATGTCTGTGAGTCTGTAATGCTGAAATGCTGGCTGTTCCCTATGGGCAGCGCTGTTGTTGAAATGCTGGCTGTTCCCACTGGGCGGCCTGTGCAGCATGGGAAGTGCAGGGCCCAAACAGCCGCATGCTCCCCCGTGGCGGCCTGGCTGGGGAGCGCAGAAGTCAGCCGAGCGCCACGGCAGAAGGGGAAGAGGAGCGGGGCGGTGATGTGTGGCATGACATGTCGTGACATGTTGTGATGTACATGGCCAGGGGGCGGGGCCTGGAGCCACTATCACGCCGCACGTCACCGCCCCGCTCCCCTTCCTCTCCCTCCGAGGCACTTGGCTGACTTCCGCACCGCTCAGCCAGGCCGCCACGTGGGAGCAAGTGGCGCAAGTGACCGTTTGGGCTCTGCAGTCCCCCAAGTGAGAGGCAGGAGGGGGAGGAGAAGAGAAAGAGAGAGACAGAGAGAGAGGCAGGAGGAGGAGGAGGGGAGAGAGAGAGAGAGATGGAGTGAGAGACCGGAGGCTCAGGAGAGGAGACCGACATGGAGGAGAGACCTGAAAATCCTGTCTTATGACAGGCTAATTGGCTAGTAATATAAGAATCAGGGGGTCACCAAATAAAACTAATCAGCAGCAGGTTTAAAAAACAAAGGAAGTATTTCTTCACACAATGCAGAGTCAACCTGTGGAACTCCTTGCCAGAGGATGTTGCAAAGGTCAAGACTATAATAGTTTTAAAAAAAACAACCTTAGATATGTTCACAGAATGGGTCTATCAATGGCTATTAGCTAGATGGGCAGGGACGGTGTCCCTAGCCTCTGTTTGCTAGAAGCTGGGAATGGAAGACAGGAGATGTATTGCTTGATTACCTATTTTGTTTGTTTCCTCAAACACCTGGGCTGTGTCTACATTGGCGCGATCTTGTGCCAAAGCGGCCGCTTATGCGCAAAAACATGCTGCCTGTCTACACTGGCGGGAAGGTCTTGTGCAAGAACACTGACATTCTAATGTGTGAAATCAGTGCTTCTTGCGCAAGAACTATGATGCTCCTGCTCAGGAATAAGCCTTCTTGTGCAAGAAAGCCCGATGGTTAAAATGGTCATCGGGGCTTTCTTGCGCAAGAGAGCGTCTACACTGGCACGGATGCTCTTGCGCAAAAGCACATCTCTTGCGCAAAGGTACATGTAGACGTTCTCTTGCACAAATACTTTAATGCAAGAACTCTTGCGTTAAAGAGTATTTGCGCAAGATCATGCCAATGTAGATGTAGCCCTGGCAGACAGGATACAGGGCTAGCTGGACCTTTGGTCTGACCCGGTAAGGCCGTTCTTATGCTTTTATGTTAGCAGACTGTTCTACGAGTTAATCAATTTAGCTTTTAGGAATCCCCTCCCCCGATATTTAGTCTAAATTGCCCTGAAAGCATGGGGTCTCTGTCTGAGATTGTAAGCAAGAGCATCATTTATGGTGTGATTGGAGAGGCGGGGGGGAGACTATGGACAGCTGTCCCCATTCCAGTGAAGAGCAATCAGACGGTGTGCTAACCACTTTCTGTCACTCCTGGTTAGGGACGAATTCATATCAGTGACCTGGAGATGAAAGGCCCCTTGTTTCGTTGCCAGGACTCTCAGTCAGCCAGGGACCCCCGCTCTCATGTCATACGTACTCACCTCTACCAGTATCTGACCCACCAAGGAGTTTCTTTTCACTTTCCTTGGAAAGTCATTGGTTGGGTGAGGTTGATTTTGGTCGGTGTAATCCTTCCTGTGTTACGTTATATGGAAACGTTAAGACTCCACATTGATTTAGGCCTGTCTATTGTTTTAAACAACTGGGCTGTTTCAATCACATTAGCAATGAACAGGGCATAGTTCAGAGGGATGGGAACAGCTGGCTTCACTAAATGCCTTTCTGGTAAGAACTTCCATGAGCCGGCAAGACTGTGTGGAGCTAAAAACTCCTCCCCTGGTTATGCCGCTTTGCAGTCACTCCAGAGCATTCAAAACCAGGTTAGTCTCGCAAGGAAGGAAACTAATTCAGTGCAGATGAAATGTGCCAGGCTGACTGTCCTCTCCATGAAGCAAGCGGGGAGAAGATAAAGCAGTAGAGGTGTACGCTCCCCTCACACTGCCCCCTCTCCCAAAGCCTCAGCCCTGTCCTGGAAGGAAATTCAGCCTCCATGACCAATTCACTTCATCTCTCTGCTGTCAGCACAGTTACAGCAGTGGTTTATCTTGAAGTGGACACATCCCCACTGAGAGGCAGCAGGCATTACTGTACTGAGCACAGGGCTGGGAGGCAGAGACGCCTTAGCTCTGGTCCCAGCAACCCCCTCTCTTGCCTTGGCCAAGTCATAACTCTTTTCTCCCCACCTGTAAAATGGGGATAGTTCTCTACCTGCTGGGGTGTAGGCAGGGGCAGTTAATGTTCGCGCAACCCTTTAAAGAAATGTCTGTGTAAATGGTAAGAATTACTCTTGGGTACTGGGTTCAATTCAGTTTTACATAGACTATTAATTACACCTTCAGCGTCTTCCAGATAAAGTAGCTCCTTTACCTGCTTCCTTTGTAGATCTACGTCATTGACAGTGCAGATAGAAAGAGGTTTGAAGAAACTGGTCAGGTAAGTAACTTATGTCCCACTCTCTCTGCAGTAACGTTAATTAATGCCTCTTGCATATGTAAGTCAGGAAGGTACTTTTGTTGTTTGGGTGGGAAAATTAGCATTTCAAGTGGGGCTTTCCTTTCATCATCAGTACACATTATTAATTTGATGAAGCGGCTACCCTGGGTATCCTCTACCAGAACAAATGGAACCACATTGAAAGGCTAAACCTTTTGAGGTCCTTCTGAATCTTGCCAAAACAAGACCGCAAAGAATCAATTTCTTAGGAACATTTAAAAAGCTTTAGAACTCAATTCTGTTTTATCCTGGTTTTCAAAACAAGCAAGCAATTTGCTTTTTTGGCCTAGAATCTAATCTGTGATGCAACTCGTTCTTGCACTGCAGTGTAAGATCTCAATCTCTCTTCCTCCTTCAAACAAGGGTAGTCTCTAGTGGTTTAGATTTGCTAAATTCCACACCCTTTCAGTTCTTGGCTTCTCTGCCAAGACTGCCATATCGGGTGCCAGGTAGTGCCAGCTTTGTTGGGCTTGTCACATGGTCACTTGTCGGTTAAGAAGTGACATGAAGCTGCCCTCATTTCATACCATCAGACGTTAAAGTCTTTTGATCCCTGTGGATCTGCAGGGGATTTAGGCTGTGACACAGAGGTAAAAACCTTCGTTCCCACCCTCTTAAGTCATCCACTCCCCAGTGTTTTACAAAATACTCTGCAACATGTCATGCAAGTGAAATGAAACTCTGGCCAATAAAACCTATCATCCAGCCTGGCTTTCAGCATTCCTTAAGTTGGTAAACATAGCTTCCATGTGGGGGGGCGATTTTTGTTTCTGAATTCTCTGTTATGAGTTACAGTTCATAAAACTTGGAACAAAAATCCAAACTTGTTACGAACGTCACCACAGAGATTCAAAGAGATTAGAGACAGCCACCTGATTTCAAGGGTGAGTTAGGCAGTAACTCAAAGCAGACTGCTAGAGACTGCCGATTGATCTGGTGCTTGCTGTATTTTGTATGGTCGCCAGAGTGCAGGGATTGGCAAAAAGGAGAGTTGTAGCCTCTAAGATGACTGTTAATTTCAAACTGAGCTGAAGACTTATGTAACCTGTAATTGAAAGAACTTGTTTCTGAACCTTGGGTACAGATGATTGTATACTCTCTTGCTTTTTTGTAATAGGATCTAAGTTTCTCTGGAACACTCACTTCTAACATTTGCCCTGGCCTAAATATAATTTTAATTACAGACATGGTCAACCTCTGGTGGTTAAATGCTTTTCCCCTCCCATTCCTCCTCCCCCTGCCACTCTCCCTTTTAAATGACCTAGGAGCTGGCTGAGCTCTTGGATGAAGAAAAGCTCAGCGGAGTCCCTGTGCTGATATTTGCTAACAAGCAAGATTTGCTTACGGCTGCCCCTGCTTCAGAGATCGCGGAGGGTCTGAACCTACACACTATCCGGGACAGAATCTGGCAGATCCAGTCTTGTTCGGCCCTCACAGGAGAAGGCGTGCAGGTGAGGTGATAAGAGAGGCACACCTTACTGAGCAGGAAGAGGCTTGTGCTCTCGTGTGGGGAGCTAGTGATCACAAACGTTCCTCAGAAAGCAAAGGATCAGAGGAAAGCCCTTATTTATTGTAGAGACACTGTCAGGTTAATCGTTTCATGAACCATTTCCCTTGCCTGCGCTGTTCCCTCAAGATTACTACAGCGCAAAACTTTCCAAGTCAAATTTACTTTGCTGCCGATGCCATTTTGCTCAGACAGCGGAGGGAGACTGGTCAGTTTCACTTTAGTGCAGCCTACAGTGCAGAAGAGCTACAGGATGGTGGGGCCTGCTTGTAATGGTAGAACTTTTATACAGTGGTAGTCAATCTGTGGAACTCCTTGCCAGAGGAGGCTGTGAAGGCTAGGACTATAACAGAGTTTAAAGAGAAGCTAGATAATTTCATGGAGGTTAGGTCCATAAAAGGCTATTAGCCAGGGGATAAAGTGGTGTCCTTGGCCTCTGTTTGTCAGAGGCTGGAGAGGGATGGCAGGAGACAAATCGCTTGATCATTGTCTTCAGTCCACCCTCTCTGAGGCACCTGGTGCTGGCCACTGTCGGCAGACAGGCTACTGGGCTAGATGGACCTTTGGTCTGACCCAGTCCCGCCGTTCTTATGTTCTAACCTGGCTCAAGGCTGAAATGTGTTTTTAACTTTGTCCGTGCTACTGTCCTAACCAGGTCCTACAACATGGTAATGTACTTAAGTTTAGTCAGTTTCATGGTTTTCATGCATTAGTACAGTGGTTCCCAACCTTTTCTATGCCAGGGACTGGCAAACCCCTTCACAAACTTTTGGCAGACTGGTAATATTTTATTTGCATATTCATTGCACAAATAATGAATATGCAAATATGTAAATAAAATGCAACCTGACTGCCGAGCTCCACCCACCCCTTGCTCCCCAGTGCCTAACACTTTTTGACCCCCAGCCCTAAACCCCATGCTCTTTGACTCTTTTTAACCTCTGACCCCTACAGCCCATGCAAACACCTTCTTACCCCATGACCCCACTATGCCCCCACTGAGCACTCCTTTGCCCCCAGCATTCCCCAGAGCAAGGCTGTCCGCCTAGGGATCGTGGCTGTTACTGCTGCGTAGGCAGGCCCTCTCCTCCCCTTGCACAGAGCCCTGCCCAGGCCACCATTACCGAGGAGGGAGAAAGGGACCTTCTCCTCCACCTCTTGCTGCTGCCTCAGCCCCAGCGCTGCAGGCAGCAAAAGCAACCGCATGGGCAGAGGGAGCAGTCATTGGCAACGCACACGCTCCCTCCTCCTTTCCAACCCCTCCCTACCCAAGTGCGGAGAGGGAGGCTGCTGGAGCTGAGCTGCCACGCTGCCGCAGCCCGGCAGCCAGCAGGTCGTGGACCGGCAGTGGTCTGCAGACCAGTGGCTGGGAACCTCTGCATTAGTACAGTGCTTGATGTTTGAGTTGCAAACCCTGCAGGAGAATGTTTCCATTTCAACAAGTCTCTTCTCCTTAGAATTAAAACAAAATCTGTCTTTACAGTACCCAAAGTATAGGCCTTCTAAGAGCTTGTATTTATTTAGCCAAGTTATAAACTTGGCTGTGTTTGCAGCCAAGCTAGTGGGACATTTCAGCCCTGTAATCTTTATTCTGAAGTGGTGCTGCTACAAGCTATTATAACATTATACTATTTCAGTAGGTGACTTGGATTTCTTGCGGCTTCCTAATGAGTTTTTGCCCCACAATAGCTATTATTCAAACATGAAATACTCCCAAATAAAGAAATAAAGCAAAAAGGAGACAAGCTTATATTTCAAATGTTTATATGCACCCGTGTCACCCCCACCCCCTGCTCCCGGCCCTCTCCCACTTTGGTGCTCCTGGTCATTTCTCCAGCACATAGCTATGCCGGCCCAGCAGCTGTAAACACAATTGGGTGTGGAAGAATTTAATGCTTTCCAGTTGTCCACTGCATCTCATTGTGCCTTTAGATATGTACAGTGCACCTGTGTGTATCTTGTAAAGTCTAATACACCCCAGGACGTGGAAGGAAAGTCCATTCCTGTGTTTATATCTGAATAGCAGAGGGCAGGAGCCAAATCCTTAAGTATCTGCAGATTTAAAGATTTTGTTCACCATCGTAATCAAAATGAAATTGTCTTACTTTGACACTCCCTTCTTCTGATACTCGAAAAGGTGGCAGTTTATTACAGCAATGATTATCCAGCAGGGAGTGTGGGCAAGTCATAACCTGCCCTAGAGCTTGTAGAGTGACAAGCCAGCCCCACCAGCTCAGAGAGGAAGAAGGACCCAGTGGTTGGAGCACTTGCCTCGGATTTGGGAGTTTCTTACTTCAGCACAGACTTTATGGGTGACTTTGGCAAATCCTTTAGCCTCTCTGTGCCTCAGTTTCCCCTCTACAGTGGGAATAACAGCCCTGCCCTACCACACAGGGTGGTGTGAGGAGAAATCTACTAAAGACCATGAGATGCTCACAAGTTACGATGATGGAGGCCATGTAAGTACCTCAGATAGGTATCTAGACAAGTAGACAGCACTTCACCTTCATGGAGACCCAAATTCCATCAGACCAGGCAGCACGAGGCTCTCGCATTGGCCACTAAACTTTTTGAACAAGACAGCTTTTCTGGAAACATAACTAGAGCAGGGATTTTAGACCTCAGTTGACTCAGCCGAGGGGAGGAGTTATTTATCCTGCCTTAGCCTCGTGTCCCTCTGGGTTTGTCCCAAAACCACAGAGGCAGGCCACACCCTCAAAATGGGGGGAGAGGAAAGAAGAACTATTTAAGGAGTTGGGATTAAATGCATGAGCCTCTCTGCACCGCGCTGTCATAAAGGGAGTGATAGTGTTAGATCCCTATGCACTATTTGAGACTCTCTCTGAGAAAGTAGAGTAGTGACAGAAAAAGAAAGGAAGATACTGGAAGCCAAAGAACATCAGGTATTTAGAATGAACCCAAGAGAACAAGCTGCCTTTGCTGTCAATGAAGATTGTACAAGTGGATTTTGTACTGGAATGAGCGTGCGCAGGGACTGAGTTCCAGGGAAGGTTTGTGCGAGGGCCCCAAGGAAGAACAGTGAGGAAGGATAAAGTCGGTAACTGAAGGGGAAACAGTTTGAAGGTCATTTAATTAGTTTAGTTGATAGCGCCATGGTGTATAGAATTGGGTAGTTAAGACTGGGGATTTCAAGCTTAATGAGATTAGATTATGGTTAATGGAATGATATAAATTTAGAGAATTTAACTATTATTTGAAATAGGTTCTTTAATAAAAATGTTAATTAAGAAGGGAATGCACGTTGTCATCTTGTCCTTTCACATTCACCTTTTGGGACTTGAGAGAGGTCACAGCTGGTTCCCTGGAAAGCTATGAGTAAAGGTGACTAGGTTAGAGAGAAACCCACAGGTAAGCCCTCTGCACCTAGTCCCCACACTGCCAGCTTGTTTCCTCTTCCAAAGAGCGAGTTTCATTACCTCCTCGCCATGCTGAGCAGAACTCTGGGCACATGGTTCGTTGTGTCAGTGGGACTTCATGGCATTGTTCAAAGAAGAGGTACATCCATTACACTCTTGAGTGCATTTGAAGCAGGCCCTGGCTTTGTCTGTCATTCAGAGCTAGCAAAGGCAGAAGGAAAGTCTCTCAGCAATAGCAATTTGGGCTCAGTCTCACGTTCTGGCCTAAAGTCTCACCCGGTTTGCACACGAAAGCACATGTTTATATTCCATGGAGAACTTGACAACATCTAGGATGTACGGTATCCAGTAAGAGGTGGTAATTGATTCTGCTGACAAAACACCTGAAGGGCCAGAGAAGCAGGGCCTCACAACTGTGATCTGTTGGCATTTAGATGCTCTAGGAGATACATTGTGAGAACAGAGTATATAGCTGCAGCCTGTGCGTGAAAGTACCCTGCATTGTCAAACACTGGAATAAATTGCCTGAGGCGGTTGTGGAAACGCCATCTCTGGAGCTATTTAAGAGCAGGTTGGACAGACACCTGTCAGGGATGGTCTAGAGATGGTACTGGGGCCCTGCCATGAGGGCGGGGGGCTGGATTCGATGACCTCTCGAGGTCCCTGCCAGTTCTGGTGTTCTAGGATTCTACCCCTCCTCAGCTGTGTTCCTGGATAGCTGGGGGCTGAGCTGTAGTACTGCAGCATGTTTATACTGCAGTTTGATCTATCCACACAGGCAAGGGGTACTATACAGTGGCCCCTGCCAATATAATGTGCTGCATAAATAGGCCCTGAATTTGTTTTAAAGATGATTTAGCAGACCAGTGAGCACAGGGACACTGCCACGTTTTAACCAACTTTTCAGTGGCATTGCAGATCCCTTGGGATAACAGTAGCTATGCCAGGTGGACAAAGATAGGGATTGCAGGGGAGAAGGGACAGAGGAGCTAGGAGCAGAGAGCTTGTGGTGTTTAATATGGGAGCAAGGAGGGAACTGTGTCGGGAATGCAAGGTTACAGGAATCTCAAAAGACATTTGCATTGAGGCAAAAAATACACAGCTGCTTCACTTGGAATGGGTTCCATATGAAAAGAGATTCAAAAGACTGGGACTTTTCAGCTTAGAAAAGAGGAGCCTCAGGGGGGATATAACAGAGGTCTATAAAATCACGACTGGTGTGGAAAAAGTGAATAAGGAAAAGTTATTTACTTATTCCCATAAAATAAGAACTAGGGGTCACCAAATGAAGTTAATAGGCAGCAGGCTTAAAACAAAAGGAAGTTTTTCTTCACTCAGCGCACAGTCAACCTGTGGAACTCCTTGCCAGAGGATGTGGTGAAGGCTAGAACTTTAACAGGGTTCAGAAAAGAGCTAGATAGATTCATGGAGGTTAGGTCTATCAATGGCTCTTAGCCAGGCTGGGTAGGAATGGTGTCCCTAGCCCCTGTTGTCTAGAAATGGATGATAGGAGAGGGATCATGTGATGATTACCTTTTGTGTTCCCTTTCTCTGGGGCATCTGGCAT